GAGGGAGGTAGGGACCCAGTGTTCAGAAACTACTTTGGTTGAACAGGCCCCTAAGGAGCTTCCACCTAAAAAGCAGCCTGTGTAAGAATCTACTGAACAGGAAGTGACCCTGTCTTATCAAAACCACTTCCAAATCACTGGCGGTAACTGTAATATGCAGTGACTCTGGAGTCTTAAGGTGTGAAGTTCAAGTCCTGCCTCTGCCACTTGGCTGCTGAGTGACCTTAAACAAGTCACTTACCTCTCTGGATCTCTGTTTCCTCATCTCTAAAATGGGGATGATAATAGTACCTACCCTGTAGGTTATGAAAATCAAAGGAGTTAATGTGGGTAAAGTACTCGTAATCTTGGCCAGCACATAGGACCCTCCTCCGTCACTGCCACCCTCTTCAGTTGGACTATCACAGTGGCCTTCCCTCAGGTCTCCCTGACGCTGCCCCTCATGATCTGTTCCCCACACGGCAGCCTGGGCAGTCTTTATAATAGGAAACCAGACATTGCTTAAAGCCCTCCAATGACTCCCCCATCACGCACAAAGTGAAATCCACTCCTCTCCTCAGCTTGAAAGCCCCTGTTCTACCTGCCACATTCTCCCCACCTCCCAGTCTCATTGCCAACTCATCATACTGGCCTCCTTCATGGTACCTGACCATCCCAAACTAATTTGGACCTCCGGGCCTTTGTACTTTGTACTTTGTACTTTTGCACTACCTGTCCTTTTCTCTCCATCTTCTTTCTAGGCCTGGCTCACTCTCACTCTCCTCCAGAAAGTCCTCAGTGACTCCCCAGGTTGGCTGGGTCAGGCACCTTCTCTGGATTCCTACAGTCCCTGTGCCTCCCCTATCCCAGCCCTGACCAGTCTTGGGCTGTCACCGTCTGAGGACAAGTCTGTCACGCTCATTGTACTGTATAGTACAATGGGTCAGGGAAGCGGGGGCAGGGCCAGTGGCTATGTTGGTCACCACTGAGACCAACGGTGAGACCCACAAGAGTGTAAGAAGGCTTTGCCCTTCCCTTTCCAAGCTTCACTGCCAGCCTCCCTGCCTCCTTCCCGAGGAGGTTCAAGTCAGTATAGTTTCTCTCCCCAACTGTCAGCCCTGGGAGAAGCCCCCCAAGGAGACTTCGGTCTAAGTTACAGTCACTGTCCTGGATGCCCTAGAAGGCAAAGGTCAAAGCCCTCTGGGACTCAATGGTGTATATCGCACCCTGGCTAAGTTGGTCACATGAACCGTCTCCCCAAATGTTCCCCACCAGCCTGGGAGGTCATAAAACCTACCATCTCATGGCTGAGTAAATCATTTCAGCAAGGACCACAAACTTGCCCAAAGCAGGATGCAGAGTGAAGGGACCCCTCAAGTCCAGTTGGGAAGCACATTGGTACAAGCACTTAGGAAAGCAATTTGGGAGGTCCGGTGAGACATCTGCCCAAGAGAGACTCTGGCCATAGTGCACAAGGAAACACGTTCCAGAAGGTTCACTGCAGCACTATTTGTTACAGTCCCAATGGGAAACCACCTAAATGGCCACCAAAAGATGAACGGAACTCCTATGCGGCAAAATCACCAAAAAAACACTTGACAGCAAGGAAAACGAATGGCCTGCCCTAGGCCTACACATCCAAACAGAGACATACCCTAACCCTAATGTTGAGCAGCAGAAGAGGTGTGTTTACCGTGATCCCATTTACATAATCTATAAACTAAAACAGTGGTGGTCAACCCTGGCTGGCTCCACCCCAGACCAAGAACCCACTTCAGAATCTCATCTATGGCAGGCCTGGGCAACAACAGTTTTGAACACTGTCTAGGTAACTGCAATATGTAGCAATGTGCAGCAGGGGTTGAAGCTCTAGCATTTTTGAACACAGTCAAGGACAGCAGAAGTGTGAAAGCCTGCAGAGAAACACTGTACACCAAATTCCAGTACAGAAGCAGCCACGGACAGAGATGGCCAGGAGGGGTGGGCAGAGCGGTGGAGCCTTTAACTGTATCCACTATGTGTTCCGTCCCAGGCCGGATGCTGAAGACAGAGGTATTTGGGTATACTGAAAGCTCTACTACTTTCTTTGATAGTCTAAAATATATCATAAGAAACAACACTGGCACGTAAGAAATTTCTTGCCCACCCTGGCCAGGTGGTTCAGTTGGTTGGAGTGTCATCCCATACACCAGAAAGTTGCGGGCCTGATCCCCAGTCAGGACACGTACCCAGACTGTTGGGGGCACAGGGAACAAGGGAAGTGCAACCAATCAATATTTCTCCCATATCAATGTTTCTCTCTCTCTTTCTCTCTCTCTACCTCTCTCTCTCCAAAATCAATAAAAAAATCAATAAAAACATATACTCAGGTATAGATTAAAAAATAATACAAATTTAAAAAAAGAAATCTCTTGCCCAAGGTCCCACAGCTGGTAAGTGGCAGGGCAGGAACCCCACCACTCCTTCCCTGTGCTGAGCCCTGAGATGCTGAGTGAGACTGCACCGCAAAGGCCCAAGACAGGGTCTGCCACCCACTCAATGACCCTGCCAGAGCCAGGGGTGGGGTAGCTGCAAGAGAAAGCCGGGAGGCAGGTAATGCGAGGCCCCTTCACCATCTCTGAGGCCCTCCCTAGGCAGCGGCAGGAGCAGCAGCATCAAGACTAATACATACATAGCACCTACTGTATGCCAGGCCTTGGGCCAAGCCCTGTACATTGTGCATCCTCATAGCAATTCTGTGAGGTGGCCACTATCCTTATGCCCACTTCATAGAGGAGGAAAGTGTGGCCCAGAAAAGTTAAGCAACCTGCCCATGGTTACACAACCTGTGAGTGATGGATCAGAACCACTCCCCAGTACTGCTTCACAGCTCCGTAGACACACGAAGCTACTCATCTGCCCCTGCTCCATCCCTCTCCAAGGCCAGGCATCTTAGTGGTCTCACACAGGCTACATGTGACCTACAAGCCCCCAACCCTGTACCCATCCCCTGTCTTCCCCTCACAAACAGGACTTTTCCTTCTGCCTGGTTTGCTGATTCCCACCCCTCCTACTCATCCTTCAGAACTCATCCAGAGGATTTGCCCAGGGACACAGTCTCCAGCCCAGATGGGGACCCAGGATCTGGGTACTCTTCTGGCTCCCTGAACACATCCTCACAGATTATGTCACCATTGGTAGATATGTAGCCATGTATCACCAGCTGGGGGTCTGCTCCCACCCAGGGACACTTGAGAGCCCTTGGAGGACAGGGACTCCTTGTGACTTATCCACTGCTGTAGTCCCAGCACCCAGCACAGTGCCCAACATTCAACCACCACCAACTGAGCCTCCTCTGCCTGGCAGCGCTTCAGGTGGGGATTCAGGGAAGGAGCAACATGGAGCAATTCCTGCCCAATGAGGGGCTCACATTCTAGTGGGAGAGGATGACAACCAACAAGGTAAGGACAGAGTAAAGGCTGGGAAGAAAACAACTATGAAAGAAAGAGTATCTGATGGGAGGGAGAGCTGGGTGGTCCTGGTAGGACTGTAAGTGACAAATGAGTGAGAGGGGACAGGGTAGGGGAAGGAATCGCGGGGGGGGGGGGGGCGGGGGGCGGGGGGGAGGGCGGGGGAAGAGAACAGGAAGGTCAAAGACCTAGAGGGAGGCGTAAGCCTACAGAGTTGAAGAACAGCAAAGAGGCCAGGGTTAGCTGGACCAAGGCAAGGGGAGAGCAGTAGGAAATGAGGTGGGAGGGACTGAGGACCATGATGAGAGCTTGTGGTTTTAAGTACAGAGAACACCCAACTTTGAACAGGGTACCACCCAAGAACATCTCCAACCAGAAGCCCATGAGACACACTTGAACTCTGGGCCACCCACAAACACTCCATCCCACAGGCCCTGAGGAACCTCTCCTCCCAGATCACACCCTTCCATGGAGGCCAAACAGACAACCCTTTCCTGCTCAGGAGCGGCCCAGCCCTAGCCCTGCCCAGTACCCTGCTTCCAGAAACAGACCTTCGGTAGTCTGCAATGCAGTGACCAGGAAAAGGAGCTCTGGAATTCAGACTCAGCCTGGAATCTGTCCCTGTCACTTAGTAGAAGCTCTCTGAACCTCACTTTTTCTGTCTGTAAAGTGTACCTAGTACTCACTTCACAAGATTCGGGTATAGTAAGTCCAGGCATTCATAGCTCTGAGGACAGTGTTAGGCCTCATTAAATATTAACCAATACTATGATTATTTAAGAGAACTTGGGGCCCAGAACTCCAGAGTTCAAATCCCAGTGCACAACTTCCTCATCAGGTAATCCTGGGCAAGTCACTTAGCCTCTAAGTAATCGCACCAACCCCATAAGGTTGTAGTCAGGATTCAATATGTAAAGCTTTTAGAACGAGGCCTGACACACAGTGCTTCTTGAGTGTTATTATTTTCAATATTTGTAGAAGGGGGCTCCCCTCTCCCCCACCAGAAAGCACCTATGAGCTCTCTCTTGGATGTCTGGTCCCTCTTCCCCAGCGATATGACTCACTTGGGTTTTAACTTTTGGCCCGTAGGAACATTATCTGTCCCGCCATCAGATTCTGACCTCTGTCCCCTTTGGCCACTCCTCACCTTTGATCCCATAAAAGATGCCCCCCAATCTGTATCTCATTCATCTGCTCCGCTGGCTGCTGCCTTAATCTTCCGACCCACCGTCCCCATGGTTGTGACCTCTGACCACCTGAGTAGCACCTCAAATTATTAACTTTGACCCCCCCCTTTTTTGACATTCGCCCCAACCTCCCCTAACGCGTCCCCACTTCAAATTTTCGAACACTGCGCTCCCATTGGCCACGCCCCCTTTCTTAGTTTGACCTTTGACTTCCACCACACCTTTTCACCCCACGTCAGCGTCGACCCAGGACGCCCTCTCGACGCGACCCTTCCCACCACGAGTGAACTTTGACCCCAGTGGCCCCGCCCCCTACATGCGTTAACCTTCTCTCACAGCAATCACCCAGCCCACCTCAATCCCCTAGCTACACTGCTCATCCTACCGGCTCGGTGCTGCAGTCGCTCGCGGCTTAACTGCTCGGACCGGAATCCCGCGTCCTAGATTCGCCCTCAGCTATCCTGCGCCGCCGCCACGGCGGCCACTGCCACCGCCATGTTGAATCCCCAACGAACATCCGGGGCTTTTTCCCCCCCATCACCGCCCACCAGTCCCCATAGCAACGGGGCTGACCGGGTTGGGGGCAGGGCCCACTCGGGGGAGGAGCTGGGCTCCTGGCAGCGCCCGCTCCAGCCTCTGATTGGTGAAGATTGTCCAATAGGAGACCTACGAGAGGAAAATACCAGGCCGGGATTGGAAAATTTGGAAAGGGTGAGGGAAGGCTGGCTCCCAGCCTACTCGAGTTCTTAAAGGGGAAATGATTATTCTCTGCTAACAGTCATTCCCAGCTTCCTCCGAAGGGAGTTAGGAGGTGGAGGGCAGTATTGGGCAATAATGACCAGAAACAGTTCTTACGCGTTTACTATCTGCCAGACACTCAGCCAGGTGCTTAACTTGCGTTGTTTCACTGAGTACTCAGTACAACCCGACTGTATTATTGATAACCTTTTTTGCAGATAAAGAAACTAAGGCTCAGAGGGGCTGGCTAGATGGTTTAGGATCACAGGAGTTACGGACATCTGTCTGTCAGAGTCCGGAAACTCCACCTGGAACCAAGACACTATTTGATCTTAATCTTTTAAATAAATTTTAAGAAGTAATTAGTTTGTATATAGGTGTATATACATATATATGTATGTGTATGTGTGTATATGTGTGTGCATATCTATAGATATATATAAATAAAACCCCTCACACCAGAAATCAGAAACTAAACTCGGACAACCTCTTCTAAGATTTCACTCACTGAGCTCCAGCCACTTTGCTCTTCCAGAAAAGTATCTGGTGCTGTCCCACTTCAAGGTCTTTGCGTTGACTCTTCCTTTTTTCTGGAATACACCCTTCTCTTAGGTATCCTTATGGCTCCTTCCCTCCCCTCTTCAATGTCACCTTATTAGCAGGACAGTTCCTCTCCACCCTAACTACAGCAGCAAACATCCCTCTAACACGCTAGTAAATCCCTTACTTTGTCTGCTTTTTCTCATTTTCTGTTGCTCAAATCACCTTTTAACATACTACTTAATTAGCTATTTGTAGTTACTGTTTTTTGGTTGTCTCCCTTACTGGAATGTCAGATCCATGAAAGCATAGATTTTTTCGTTCTCTGTGCATGCCCAGTGCCCTGGCATTATTGGCATGTTGAGTGTATGGTTCGATGAATCGTAATTCCATCTCCTTAGAAATACTCTTAAATGTTTAGTACAGTTCCCCTGCCCCAGAGCAGTGTCCAGCCCATAATAGGCATTTAATTAATGTCTGCAGAAGCAACGAATTAATAAATAATTGCATGGTGAGTCACTTTTATGTACTTTTACCTATAGTTTTAAACGGAACCGGAAAAACACATTCATATAGAATTTTGGGGGAGGGAGTGAGGGAAGTGGAAAGGGTATAGGGAAGTAAATGGTAATGGGAAAATACTACAATAAAAAATAAAAAGAAAAAACCAAAATAACTTTGTATGTTTTTACAAAGAACAACTGATAGTTGCCAGATAGGGATGGGGTTGAGGGACTAGGTGGAAAATGTGGAGGGATTAAAAAGCACATATTGGTAATCAGAAAATAGTTACGGGGATGTAAATTGCAGCATATGGAATATAGTCAATAATATTATAATAACTATGTATGGTGCCAGGTGGGTGCTAAACTTATTAAAGGGATCACTTGGTGAGTTATATAAATGTCTAACCACTATACTGTAACCTGAAACTATATCCTGAAATTAATATAATAATGAATGTCAACTATAATTTAAAAATTAAATATATTTTAAAAGAAATGAGTTTTGTATCTTTTTAAAACAAGATTATAAGTATCACCAGTGTCTCCTCATGCTATTAAGTATTTTTCAAGACCATTAGTTTTAATGGCTGCATAAGATGCCATCCTATCTATGAACTCTAATTTATTTAACCACTTTTTCTTGTTGAACATCTAACCTGTAATAAATATTTTACCATTAAACAATCTCTCCCCACAGGAAAAAACAAAACAAAACCCAAGGAGCCAAATATTTCTGAACATCAATAATGATTTCCTTTGAATAGATTACCACAAATGGAATGTCTGGGTCCAAAGAAATATACATCTTTAAGATTTAATAATAGTAGCAGTTTCCATGTTTTCAGCGTTTCTATGCATGGTACTAAGCCATGTATTTTATCAACAGAGGCTACGACTATCTGAGGCTTACAGAAGTAATTTCATTTGCTCAAAGTCACACAAGCTAATGGGGATGAGCTCTGGCTCAGCTTTGACTCCCAGGCGTTCACTAACTGCACTCTGCCGCCTCCCCACGGCCTGAGACGCACATTGCTAAATTGTGTTACAGGACTCCAATTCGCACTCCCACCAGCATTAAGAGGGAATTTACCCTTCCTCGCCAGCAGTAAACATTCTTGGTTTTGTACACTTTTGAAGTCTTTATGCCTTACAGAGTTTCCATTAAAAAAAAAAAAGCAAGGCTAGGAACTCAGATGACAGCACTTTGTTCAGGTCACAGTGATGGGAGGAGGGCCAGGGGCAGCATTTCCCTGCAAATTGCAAGGCATTAGGCTCTAGAATCCATGTTTAAGAAAGCACCCTTGTAACTTAGCTGGGGATCTCAGTCAGAGATCAGACGCTTGGAACAAGCCTAGCTACACATTTGGTCCAAGGGCTTCCTAAGGATGAGTGATCAGGCCCTCTTACTTTGGGGTCCTGGGAGAGAGAAATCAGCCCCAATCAACCTTCTACCGAGAAGGCTTCTTGGAGGTGGTGGTGAGGAGATGACCCCCAAAGGATGGAAACAGGAAAGGAGAGTGAAATGGATTGGCTGAATAAAAATGACACATTTCAGTACATCAAGGAAAGAGATAAATGGCAATCTATGAATGGCAAAAAAAGTGTTCTGTCCATCATATGTAAAAAATATTTAGAAATCAATATGAAAGGTGAACATACAATAGAAAAATAAGCAAAGGACAAGAACAAAAATTTAAAATACAAACAATAAAAAAGAACAAATGGAGTAGGTGAACAGGAAGTTAATAAAATGGCTATTGTTTAAAAGAAAAAAAGAAAGAGCCAAAATGGAGTCACTTTTGCTAAACCAGTCACCAAACCAAAACTTAATAACTAACCTAATTGCAGTTCCAGCCTCTCCCATGAGTGGAGTTTTAAACCTATCAGTCAGGAATTTCTTGATGAACACTGGTAGGTAATCTGCTTGCTAAGAATCCCCCTGCCTTCCCCTACAGGAAGGTGACCTTGCCTGAAAAAAATCACTCTTTTCTTATTTCCACCCTTTTTCTGTCTATTAAAACTCGCCACTTTATACAACTCCTTGGAGCTCCCTTCTAGTTGCCAGATAAAATGCTGCCTGATTTATGAGTCGCTTAATAAAGCCAATTAGTTCCTCAAATTTATTTGGTTGAATTTTGTTCTTTAATGTTATTAAACAGATCCCCTCTTTTCATCTCTTAGAAAAATATTTTTAAATATTATAATCAGTGCTAATGAAATACTAGATACCAGCCACTCCCATACTCCACTTGTATCACTGATCTAGGGCAGGCTTTTGGCAATATCCATCAAAAGACTCAACAATGCTGTCCATCCTTCTTACTTCTAGGAATTGTTCTTAAAGGAAAAGAGAGATACAGACAAAGATGTAAACGTGCAGCTTTTTATCATTAGTTTTTTTTTAGTAAGAATTTTTAAAATCACCATTTTTTGCCCTGGTTGGTATGGCTCAGTGGATTGAGTGCACTGAAAGGCTACCTGTTCGATTCCCAGTCAGGTTACATGCCTGGGTTGCAGGCCAGGTCCCTAGCTGGGGACCTGTGTGAGGCAGCTGATCACTTGCACAAGGATGTTTCTCTATACCCCTTTCCCTCTCTCTAAAAGTAAATAAATAAAATACTTATAAAAAATTTTGGGGGTACTTCCAGTCAAGCTGGTGGCATAGGCAGACATGGCTCACCTCTTTGCACAACGAGATCAAATTACAACTAAAATATAGAACAACCATCACTCAGAACTGTCAGAAATTGAATTGAATGGAATTCTGACAACTACCAAATTAAAGAAACTACAATCATCCACACTGGTAGGCGGGGCACAGATGTGGAACAGGCTGGTCTCACACCCACGTGTCATGAATAAAAATTCAGGAGGGATAGCTCAGGATCAAGTCCCACACCCACACCAGGTCCCCCAGCCCAGAGTTCCAGTGTCAGGAAGATAAGCCCCTACAACTTCTGGCTGAAAAATCCAGAGGGGATTGAGTTGGTGGAAGAAACAGCTGGAGCCCCAAACAGTTCCTTTTAAAGAACCCACACATGGACTCTCCTACCCAGACTCACTCCCTCTGAGCTCCAGCACTGGGGAACAGCTTGAAAGCCACCAGTGGTATATAGGAGAAACTGAAGTGTCTGGCATCAAGGTGAGCAGAGGCCATTGTCCCCTTTCTAAACCCTCCCCCCACAGAGCCAGTAAGCTGGTGCCATATCTGAGACTCCATCAACCTGGTTAACATTGTTTGACCCACCCTGAAGACCCCCAGAGACTCTACCCTATCCAATTTATGTACCTATCCAAGCTGCTTTTCTATATGAATTGCTGGTCTTGGCTCATGCTTCACAACTTCTTAAATCCTATCAAATAAGCAACAGCTGGCCTCAGTGAGCCCCAGGCCTGGCACTAGTAGCAGTCCGATTAAATTCACAGCTTGGCTTTGCCTGGGAATCTCCAAGCCCGACACAAGTAGCAGCCACCTCAGATTACTTTACAGCTCAAGCAGGGTGCCCCAAGCAAAACAAAGGTGGCAGCTGACCTTGGCCTGCACCACCCAGGAAACCCCAGGCCAGTGCACCTAAGTGGACAGTTACAGACCATGTCAGAGCACAACCATCCTGCCCCAGCACAGCTGATCCTACACAGAAGGCTGAAGTTGATGGTCAGTGGTCACAGCCAACCCTTGCAGCTGATTGGCCTGGATAAATCCCTCCCCTTGATCTGCCAACAGCAACCAAGGCTCAACTACAAGAGGAGGGTGTACTCAACTCACACAAAGGGCATGCCTTGAGTACCCAGCTTGGGTGATAGGGGAGGCTGTACCACTGGACCCTATAGGACATCTACTACATTAGGCCACACTACCAAGACACAGAGTCAAAACAGGTCTACCTAATACATGGAAACAAATACAGGGAGGCTGCCAAAATGAGGAGACAAAGAAACATTGCCCTAATGAAAGAACAGGTCAAAGCTCTAGAAAAAGAGCTAAATGAAATGAAGAGAAGCAATCCATCAGATGCAGAGTTCAAAACACTGGTTATAAGGATGCTCAAGGAGCTGATCGAGGACCTCAACAGCATAAAAAAGATACAGTGAGAAATGAAGGATACACTAATTGAGATAAAGAACAATTTGCAGAAGATCAAAAGTGGAGTGGATGAAGCCGAGAATCAAATCAGTGATTTGGAACATAAGGAAGCAAAAACCAACCAATCAAAACAAGAAGAAGAAGAAAAAAATGAAGATAGCATAAACCACCTCTAGAACATTCTCAAGAGGTCCAACATTCGCATCATAAGAGTGCCAGAATGAAGGGAAAAAGCAAAAATTGGAAATCTATTTGAAAAAATAGTGAAAGAAAAATTCCCTAATTTGCTGAAGGTAATAGACATGCAAGTCCAGCAAGCACAGACAGTCCCAAACAAGATGAATGCAAAGAGGCCCACTCCAAGACACATCATAACTAAAAGGCCAAAGGTTAAAGATAAAGAGAGAATCTTAAAAGCAGCAAAAGAAAAAAAGTTGCCTATAGGGGAGTTCCCATAAGACCGTCAGCTGATTTCTCAAAAGAAACTTTGCAGGCTAGAAGGGATTGGCAAGAAATATTCAAAGTCATGAAAAGCAAGGACCTACAGCCAAAATTTCTCTACCCAGCAAAGCTATCCTTTCTAATTGAAGAGCAGATAAAGAGCTTCCCAGACAAGAAAAGCTAAAGTTCATCATCACCAAATCATTACTGTATGAAATGTTAAAGGGACTTATTTTAAAAAAAGATGAAGATCAAAACTATGAACAAGAAAATGCCAATAAATACATATCCATCAACAACTAAATCTAAAAAACAAACTAAGCAAACAAGGACAGAGACAGAATCATGGATAGGGAAAATGTTTTGATGGAGGATATCAGGTGGGAGGAGAGTGGGGAAGAATGGGTGAAGAGGTAAGGGGATTAGGAAGTACAAATAGATAGTTACAGAATAACCATGGGGATGTAAAGTACAGTATGGGAAATGGAGTAGCCAAGATACTTATACCCATGACCCACGGCCATGAACAATGGTGGGAGTATTGCCCGAGGGGGAGTGAGGATGCTGGGTGGAGGAGGGCAAAGAGGGAAAAATCAAAGCAACTGTAATAGCATAATCAATAAATTATAATTTTAAAAATTGTTTAAATCACCATTTTTTGGAGTATTATATTGTACTTAACATTTCCCCTAACCTTGCACATTTAAGTTGTTTCCATTTTTTTTCACTGGTCTCTATGCCAGACCCTCTCTAAACACTATGTGATCTTATCTAATTCTCATCAATTATCTGTAAGATGGGATCCCTAACCTCATTTAACAGGTGAGGAAACAGACATGGGAGTACGGTAGGAAGTGGAGCAAAGTCCCACCACCTCTAAGCAGCTTTGCTGGAATTTTAACCAGGAAGTCTAACACTCTTAAAGACTGCTCAAATTCATTCAATAAATATGTTCATTGAACACAATCTGTGTGCCAAACATGTTGCATAATGACAACTACAAACATTTACTGAGCATTTTGTATATAGCAGGCCCTTTACTACTTCATTTAATCTAAGCAACAACCCAATGCACTAATGTTATCTTCATTCAACAAATGTGCAAACAACCACAGGCAGCCTGTCTTCAGGATCTAGGCTCCCAACTCTTGAATATTTCTTTTTCAGAGAACAAATGCTTGAGAAATAGATAATAAACACATGAACAAATAAATAATATACCATAAAATAAGGTGATGGCAGAGCTCAAGTCATGGAATATATCCATGCAGCCACAGAATGCGGAAGACACAGGACCCACCAATCCCACTCCAAAGTATTTACCCAAGAGAAATGAAAAAATACACACACACACACACACACACATCACTGTACAGGAACATTGATAGCAGTTGTTTTCATGGTCAGTCCAAATTGGATACAACCCCAAATGTCCTTCACCTGGTTAACATATAAATGCATTGCAGTAAATTCATGCTATGGGACACTACTCAGCAGTAAAAAGGAACTATTGATAACCAGGACAAAGGATGGAGTACAAATGTATTAGGCTGGGTGAAAGCAGCCAATCTCAAAGGGCTTCAAAGGTTCTATTTATCTGATTCCACTGTTATCATTCTGGAAAAGGTAAATCTCTAGTGACAGAGAACAGATTGGTTATTGCCTGAGGCTGGGGGACCAAGGGAAGGATTAACAGGAAAGGGACAGGAGGGAAAATGGGGTGATGAAAATATTCTGAATCTTGATTGGAGTGGTTCTTTCATAGGAATGTACATCCGTCAAAACTCAAGTTGTATTCTTTCAAAGGGTAACTTTAATTGTACTAAATTACATCTTCATGAAGTTATATTGAAACATTTTTAAAATGCAGTGAAGTATGGACTCCAGTTAATAATAATGTATCAATAGTGGTTCCTTAATTGTAACAAACGTATTCTACTAAGGTAAAGATTTTAATAATAGGGGAAACTGGGTATGAGAACTCTGCACTATCTTTGAAATTTTTCTGTGAATCTAAAACTGTTTGAAAAATAACATTCATGCTTAAAAATGAAAAAAAGAAAAACCAGAATGGAAATGATATTATGCCCATGTTAATTTATGTTGGAAAGAAAAACAGGTTACAAACTCACCCATATCATATGATAGCATTTTCTTTTTTTATTGAGATATAATTGATATATGACATTATGTCACTGTCAGGTGTACAACATATTCAGTCAATATTTGTATATATTGCCATATGGACCACTTCGTGAGTTTGCATGTCATCCTCATGTGGGGCCATGCTACTCTCTTCTGTATACCATTCCAATTTTAGTACATGTGCTGCCGACATGAGCATGAGAGTACCTACATTTTTTAAAAATCAAGGGTTATAAGGAAAAATATTAAAATGTTGAAAGAAGCCGTAAGTAATGGGACAGTTGGGAAATTTCTGGTTCTATTTTATTTATTTATGTTTGCATGGTTTGAACTTGCTTGTTTCAACAATGAGAGTGTTATTTTCTCTCCTGAAGAAAAATAAAGATAGTATCATTTTTTAAAATTTGTTGAAATGCAGCAGCAAAGATCTGGAAGGAGGTCTTGGAAGGGAAGAGGGGTGGGAGGTGGGGCCGCTGCCCGGGGAGAAGAGTTTGCCCTCTCTGTCCGCTGTCCGCAGCTCCCTCCGCTTTCTCTCTTGCTCACATGTAGGATTGCAGTAAAAATAGAGTCAGTAAAAATACAGGATGTTCAATTAAAATTGAATTTCAGACACACTCCAAGTCATTTTTTAGGATAAGTATATCTCATGCAATATTTGTGATATACTAAAAACGTATTCATTGTTTATCTGAAATTCACATTTAATTGGGCATCCAGTTAAATTTGCCAGTATTTTACCTGGCAATTCTACTCTGTCCACACCAGCCACCCTGGCCTCATGGCTGTTTCTCAAACACACAGGCTCAGTCCTGCCTCAGGGCCTTCACACCTGCTGGTCTCTCTGCTTGATCACTCTTCTAGGTCTTTGCTTTGACCAACTCCCTATCTTTAGGTTCAAATGTCACCTCCTTGGGAGGACTTCCCTGGATACCGTATCTAAAGCAACTTGACTTCTTTTTTTAAAATTCTCACCCAAGGACTTTTTTTCATTGCTTTATAGAAAAAGAGGATGGGAGAGAGAAACAATGATGCAAGAGAAAAACGTCAGTTGGTTGGTTGGTTGGTTGTCTCCCATGAGCGCCCAGGCCAGGGATCACACACACCAGGACTGGGGACCAAACCAGCAACCTAGTTCTGTGCCCTGACCAGGAATCGAACTCGCAACATTTCAGTTATGGAATGGCACCTCAACCACACTGGCCAGGGCTCATGGTTCTTAGTTATAATCAACAGAAACCATTTCTGACTGATCTGAGAAATGAAGTGCTTTAGTAAATAAAATTTGTTCATGAATGAATCCAGAGACCTGCAGCATCTCTCTCCTTGTCTCTGCAGAGACCCCTGGGCACCTCACGAGCTCTCCCCTGGGCCCTGCTGCTGCATCTGGGAGCACTTATCCCAATCCCACTAAGGAGGTCTCTGTGTAGCCTCCAAAAGCCTTGCTCAGCTTTGTCTCCCAGAAGCCTCAGGGTCTCCAGCCCTGCCACCTGTCACTTCCAATGTGTGTCACATGTCACAAGTGTTGCAATCAGCCATACGTGCTTGTCTCCTGCGCACCCAGCAGTGGGAGCTCCAAGGGTTGGGCCTTTATCTGATTCACCTAAATCATTGTCATTCCTACTATTTGTTATGTGCTCCCTCAGCGCCAGGTGCTGCATTAAGCATTTTACCTGTATTTCTCCTTCCTTCCTTCATCCGACCAACTACTATGCATTCAAACAACTGCAATGAGCAACTACTATGTGTTGGGTACAGGGCTGCAGAAACCCCTGCCCCCTGGCTCACTTTCTGATGAAGGAAATAAAGAGTACACAAAGTCTAAATGGCCTGAAGGAAAATAAAGAGGGAAAAGGGGATGGGGAGTGGGGGATGAATGGAAGGTGGGGGATGGAACGCTATTTTAAACAGGTAGTCAGGGAAGGCTTCATTGAAGAGGTGAGATTTGATCAGAGGCCTGAAGGATGGGAGGGAGCCATGCGAATATGTGGGGACAGAGTCCCAGGCCCAGGGAACAGCCAGTGCAAACCAAGGAGGGCGACCTGATAGATTTGAGGCCTCTGCGGCTGGAGCAGAGGGGGCAAGGGCAACTAGTGGGAGATGAGGTCAGGAAGGTGTTCGGGGCAGGTCAAGTGGGATGGACCACAATGAGAACTCTGGCTTTTACCGTGAGTGAGATGGAGCCACAAGAAGGCTGAGGCCAGGGAAGGACAAGACCTGACACAGGTGTCCACAGGTCCCTGTGCTGCATGTGAGTAACAGACTATGTGGGCGGGAGCAGGGCCAGGGAGACCAGGCAGGAGGTAAGAGATAAGATGGACAGGACCAGGGTGGGGGCCTTGCAAGTGGGGGAAGGTGACAAATTCTAGATAGATTTTGAAAGACAAAGCTAACAGAATTTTCTAGGTAATTGAATATGGGACATGAAAAGAGGGGATTTAAGGACAACACCAAAGCTTCCAAACTCATTTATGCCCAAGGCAACCCCACAAAGTATGACCGTTCTTTTGTTACAGATGAAGAAACAGAGGTTCAGAGAGGCTGGTGACTCCACACCCCATAGGAAGAGGCAGAGCTGAGATGTGAACCCAGTTTGTGTCTGGCTCCGTGCCTGGCCTTTGCTCTCCGGTCCCTATTGCCTGGGCATGCTCACAGCCTCACAGAATGTGCCAGGCCCACATGGACACCTGCTCAGTCTGGCCGTACTGCGCAATGATGACTCCCCAGCTTCACGGGCTTGGTGCACCCCTCCATGGCATGTTCTCATTGCTTATCACCCATGTTGGGTAACCGTGTTTCCTTGCCTGCCTGTGACCTCCCACAGGGCCTGCCAGCTCTGATTCATTGCTGTCCCTGGTGTTGCCTGGAGCCCGGCATGTGGCAGCCTTCATTAAGGTAACAAATATTTATTAAGCATCTGTCTTGTCCTGGGCTGGGCTGGGCTGGATCAAGCCCTGAACACCGCCCTCTTGGGTTGACAGTCCAGTGATGGAGACAGACCCACCCCCAGACAGTGACGACCCAGAAAGGGTGAGACTGAAATGGGGGGGCCCAGGGGCCTAACCCAGTCTGAGAAGGGGCTGGGAGGGGCTGGTGGAGGAGACAGACCCTGGAATGAACAAGATGGCCTTGGTCTCTACCCTCTCTACCCAGCCTAGCAGGGTCCATTGACAATGAACAGTTAACAAATCAATGAGAGAATTGCAGAGTGCTAGGAGCTAGAAACAAAGTAAACAGGCTGGGACAGGGAGCGACTGTGGTTATTTTAGCTGCGGCTGTGGGGAAGGCTGAGGCCTGAGGCTGAGAAGGTACCAGCCTGGGGTGAGCTGGGGAGAGGGCACTCAGAGGAGGAAGAGCCAGTGCACAGGCCCTATGGTGAGAAAGAGCTTGGTGTGTCCCAGAAACTGCCAGCAGCCATGCTGCCTTGGGCCAAGTGGTTGTGGGTGGGAATAAGATGTAAGGAGGCTGTCAGCGGCAGCACAGTGGAAGAACAGACGTGACGTCAGCCTGCAGGGCTGGAACTCACAGCTTCCCTCAAGGGAGCTCTCAGCCTTTGCCTAGAACTACTGGAGTCAAATCATGTTTGTCAACCAGCTCAGAGCCCTCCTGTGGCCCCATCTCACTCAGGATAAAGGACAAAGTCCTCCCTGTGGTCTACATGGCTCCAGACAATCTGCCCCATCACCTCCCTGCCTCCATCTCCCTCCCCCTCATTCTCTCTGCTCCAGACACACTGGCCTCCCCACTGATCCCCTTACAGGTCAGGCATGTTTCTCTCTCAGGGCCTTTGCACTGGCTTTTTCTCTGCCTGGAACACAGCCCACATGGCTCCTCCCTCAGACTCCCTCCCATAATCTCCCTCCCCTTCCCTGCTTTTTCTGAGCATTTATCACTAAATAGCGACGCTGTAATGTATTTTACTTATTTATTGGGTTCGCTGTCTGTCACCTGGATAGAATGTCAGGGCCCCTAGGCCAGAGATCTGTCCTGTTCATGGCTGTCTCCCAGTACTGAAGACAGAGTCTGGTACATTATGGGTGCTCAATAAATAACGGTTGAATAAGTGAAAGGAAGAAGGGGAAGAGGGAGAAGGAGGAAAAAGGGAGAAAAACAGCAAATCTGTGAAAGCCTAAGACTTGTCAGCCACCCCAGCTTGGAGGCAATGTTAACACCTCTTGGCTTCTAGGGTAAGTCAGTGCCGGGCTGGGAAACTGTGGCACAAAGGGACATTCCTTAGCACTTTCTGGCCATTGGCCCACTGAGGGCCAGCTAAGGGGGAGAAAGTCACCATCACCAACTGCTGGACAGTGGTGTCATGATGGCCATGCTCACCTTGTGACTTGGGGCTGGTGATGCCTCTCGCCCCTGCAGGCAGGAAAGGGGCACCAGTGGGCATCCCCAGCAGAAGTGCAGAGTCCACGGAGCCACAGCCATAAGCCTCTTTATTCCCCAGGCCTGTGGGTACCTCGCCCAGTCAGTGCTATGCAACAGGGCAAGGCTGTGCCGCCCACCTGTATCTGTCTGTGTTTGTGTCCACACCTGTCCTCCAGCACAGCTGCCAGGACCCTCACCTCTCCAGGAGGGGAGAGCTGCCCAGCCCTCTCATGCTGCATTCACCCACATGGGGCCTCAGGAAGGCAGAGGAGTCAAGGCCCGCCCTGACTCCCCAGCCGGCCCTGGGTAGTGTCCTGTTACACCAGCCAAGGCAGCAAGGCCCGTGGTTGCTGAAGAGAGCTGCTCCATCCCTAGAGGTACATCATCCGGTGGAGCAGGGGTCTCACCACCCATACATCATCCACAATCTTCCCATCCTGTGAGGAACAAACACAGAAACAATATAAGGGCTGCAAGCCCAGACTCGGGGGCCAGATATCATGAGTTCAAATCCCAGCTTTGCCGCGGATGGGCTGTGTGATCTTGGACGAGTTGCTTGATATCTTTGAGCCTCAACTTTCCTTATCTGCAAGGTGGAGACAATAGTAATAGTACCTACCTCATAGATGTTGTGGGGATTAAATGAGAAATTGGGAAAGGGTACTTGAAAGAAATGTGTAAGTGTAGGTTATTGTTATTAGAGCACAAACTCTGGAGTCAGACAAAAAAAACAACCTTGCTTTAATCCCAGCTCAGCCACTCTCTGTGTGGCCTTAAGCACATGACCTGACTCTGAGCCTAACTTTCATCTTCTGTAAACTGGGGAGAACTGAAAAAGATAACACACACAAAAGCCTGCCCCGGTGCATGTGCCACTCAATAAACGGGAGTTATTTATAATGAAAAGAGCATGTTCTTTGGGGTCAGATCCCGGTTTTGCCCCCTCTGGCTGTGTGACCCTGGGAAAATTGCTTCCTCCCTCTGAGCCTCAGTTCTATCATCTCTAAAATGAAAAAACAGTCCCCTCTATGGGACTTTTGTAATTCAAGTGCTACTAAATATAAAGCATCTAGCTCAGCATCTGGTACACAATAGGTGCTCAACAAATCATAGTGATTACCAGTATTTTAAAATTACAATGACAGCAATAAAGAATGCGAGCCATGATTATTTGGGTCCATCTAACCTTATACCATCAGGACCATACACATGGCTTCCTTTACCCACCTCCCACCACCTATCTTTCTCTTCCCCCTGCTTCAAGTTGATAAATAGCTATAGAATTTACCATATTTTAGAAGCTGTTCTAAGCATTTTATAAGACACTTAACTCCCATATAATCCTGGGAGGTAGAAACTATTAAATATCTCCAATTTGCAGATGGGAAAACTATGGCTCAAAGTTAAGTAAGTTGCTTCAGGTCTTCTAGCTGGGGTGTAGCACAGGCTGGATTTGAACCCAGGATTTCTGGCTCTAGAGTCCTTGGCTTCAGAGCACACTGAGTCTGGCTACTCGGGTTGGTGACTCAGGCACCCCTCACTGACCTGGTCATCGGACACCTGCTGGATGTGGACGTGGGTCCCATTGAGGATGTGTAACCGTGTGTACCCATACTCCTTCACCCGCACGGCGCTCCAGGGCCGTGGAAAGAGGGTGAAGCTAGTCAGCCGCTCCTCGCAGCCCTGCGGGAGACAGTCGTTCAGACCTGGGTCCGGGGCAGGTGGAGGACCCGCAGAGGTGCAGAAACCACCTGCCAGGCCAGGGCCCTGCCCCCGCAACAAAGGCAAAGTCAGTTAAGACTTGACCTCAATAATGCTCACAATTGAGTGTTTTGACCCAGCCAGGCTTCCGGTGTGCAGGTCTAGAAAGTGCATAGCCGTACAAGACTGTGCACTGCAGCATTTTCTGTAAAAGCCCTGAGCTGGAAGCCACCCAAATGCCCATCAGTGGGGTCAGTTAAGTAAATTATAGCCTAACCATCGCAAAGCAGGCTAATACAGAAACATGGCCAGGATGTGTCATTAAAGGGAAAGCACAATTGCAGAATAGAAGAAATCAGAGTCTCAACCCTCACTGCACAGTAAACCCTCCAAGAAAGGTATTTAAAATCACCAATGCCTAGGGCAGAAGAAGTACTTGTCCTTACAGTAGAATGCCAGACGAATGAGGGACCTCAAAAAAAAATCACCATTTTGCAGCCATCATGATAACAACTGATTGAAGCAAGAATCATCAATAGATGGTAAAACTGGTGGTGGAAGTTTGGAGAATAACAAGATACTTGCACAGTCTTAGAGTATCTCCAGGAGACGCTTGTTAATTATAAAGGGGGAGAGAGTAACCATGGAGTGGCTGGCAGACACCACCTTAACCAAGCGATCAGAGTGAACATCATCAGTAGTGAGACAGATCCCTACCACATCTATGTGACTAGAGACTGAGGCTTAGAGGGTTTACAGAGATACCATGGGCCTCCTAGTAGTGTGCCCTGAAAACATGTCACTTTTGTGTGTTCTTACCAAAAAGGTGTAACTCTCACCTAATCATGAGTAAATGGACCCAAACTGAGGGATATTCTACAAAACGATTTTGCTGTACTCTTCAAATTTTTCAAGGTCATGAAGAATGGAAAGTGAGGAAATGTTTCTAACTAAACGATGTTAAAGAGACAAGACACCGGAATAGCACATATGATCTTAGACTAGATGCTGGGTCAAAAGAAAAACTCTTTGCTTTGATTTAAAGCACACAAATGGGACAATTGGCTAAATTTGAGTAACATAATACTCAAATTATCTTGTAGATTAGATAATAATAGTATATTATCAAAGTTAACTACTTGAATTTGATTATTATACTGTAGTGATAACAGATAACATAATGTCCTTGTTTTTTAGGAAATACAGACAGAAGGGTGAAGGGGCATCATTTCTGCAACTCATTCTTCACTGGATCTGAAAATCATAATAAAATGTATATATGCACATAGGTATATGCATATACATAAAAAGAGAGATTAAAACAGGTATGGTTAAATGTTCACTTTTGGAAAATCTTCATAAAGAGGATATGGGATATGGGAAGTTTTCATAGTATTTTTGCAACTTTCCTTTAAGTCTGAAATCATTTCAAAATTTTATATTAAAGGAAAAAAAGCTAATCTGTGCTAATATAGGTCAGAACAGCGATCATCTATGGGCCTGAGGAGCCTCTGGTGCCGATAGTGTTCTGTTTGGGGCTCTGGATGTGACTACACAGCATGTGCACTGCCAGCATGCCACCCTCAGAGGTTCTGGTGTTTGGTCTGAGGTAGGGCCCAAGGCTTCTGTGTTTCAAAACCATTCCAGGTAATTCTAACAGGCACCAAGGTTGAGAACTGCAAGGCTATAGAGCAGAATCCAAGTTGTTTTGAAAAAAGGGTGATGCAGAAACACATTTCTATGTAGACAATTACTCATTTGCACATGCACAGAGAACATTCTAAAATGCCACCAAGAGAGGGAACAACTGAGAGTGAAAGGAAGAAGGGGTGTGGATGGCTAGTGTTCACCGCCTGCCCTCTCTACTGCTTGAATTTTTATCATGAGAGGCTCTTACTTATTTGTAAGTATTGGCTTAAAAAATAAGCCTTCTCTGTCCTGGCCAGGTGGCTTGGTTGGTTGGAGCATTGTCCCTTACATCAAAAGGTTGTGGGTTCAATCCCTGGTCAGGGCATATACCTAGGTTTCAGGTTCAATCTCATGTAGGGAAGGCAACAGATTGATGTATCTCACTCTCTCTCTCTCCCTTCCCACTCCTTCCCCCATCCACTTCCCCCTCCCTCTCCCATCATCCACCCACCCCCCTCCCTCTATAAAATCAATAAGCATATCCTTGAGTGAGGATTTAAATAAATAAGCACAGAAGATTTCTCTCTTTGCAGAAGTGATTGATTCCAAGGTAGGGGCAGGGAGACACCACAAGATGACCCTGGAGCACTTTGCAATGCCAAAAAGTAAAGAAGTGCTCATGTCAAAGGGACAGGGGACCAACCTAGAGAGTTCCCAATGGCCAGAGCTGGAGCCACCTAAGCAGTAACACAGGCAATAGTATCGGATCATAGCCCACAGAATAAAATAATTACCCAAGAATCCATATTAGTATAAATCAATAACTAACCAAATAAATGAGGCAGTGGGACAGCTCTTCCTCACAAGAGGATTCTAATAAGTCTAGGAGGAATGAGAGAAATAGAAAATTCCAGTAGAACACCACGGTATTAATTGTGGCAGACAAAGCCCACTGACAGTCAAAAATTAGTGGGTGAAAGTTTGAGTAGAAACAGAACATTTGCACAATCTGAAAGAATCTCCCCCAGGATATTTATTAATTAAAAGGGGAGATACAATAAATCCATGGAGAAGGAGCCCAGCAGACACCTCCGTCAGCTGGTGATTCATAGAAACACCTCCAGGACAGAGACACATTGACATCACGCACTCTCTTGTGTGATACGCTGAGAGGCCAAGACATCACTTCTCTGACTGTCTTGCCCAAAATGCACAACCAGAATCTCAGCATGAGAAAATGTCGAATAAACCCAGACTGAGGGCATTCTGCAAAACGTGAGGGTCTGCAAATATGTGAAGGACAAAAGACAAAGAAAGACTGAGAAACTGTCACAGATTGGAGGAGCCTAAGAAGTCACAACAACTAAATACACTGTGGAATTCTGGAACAGAAAAAGGTCATTAGTGAGAAAGGAGCTGGAGTGTGAATAAAGTCTGGAGTTTAGTTACAATAATAATAATAAGCCCTCTGCCAGTGGATCCATTCAGCCCACCTGAGCAAGCCCCCAACCCCTGAAATCTTTTGAATTTATGACTTTGAATGCAAATTTTACTGTCTGAGCCTTTGTTTTCACATCTGTATGATGAGCATGTTTCTAGGTGTACCTTAGCTCTAGGGCTGAGTTAGTGATAGTGACTGTATGAAACACACAGCACCTGAGCTGCTCCAAGTTTGACCCTCAATAAATAACAAGAGAGAAGCCAGAAGCACCCTCCCCTGCCCTGCTCACAGCAGATCCTGTGATGATGTGGACTGGGCCTCGAGGGTTGGTGTAGGGCATCTCTTGACTGCCATTAAATACCTGGAGGAAGGGACAAGGGAGAGGGGCGAGTCATACCACACCATGCCAGAGAGTCTGACTAGGGGCCCATAGACACCAGCCCTCAGCCCTCGCTGAGCCTCACCTGGTAGTTGTATATAGGCCACAGCCGTTCGTATGAGTGCTCATGAGCCCACAGCTGCAGGTCAACCCCTGAGACAGAGCAAGTGGGGGTCAGGTCCCTGAATCCAGGAGAGGTAGAAGTTGGGACCTGGGGCAGCAGAGCCCTCCCCCCAGCCACTTACCATATTTGTAGAAAAGATCCTCTAGTCCAAATAACTTGCCAAAGAGGCCCTTTCGAACCTGGGCAGGAGGAGCAAGGAGTGAGGGGTGACTCAGGCCAACTCCCACCTGGCTCTCAGCACCCTGCCCCCAGGAAGGGGTTCCTCACCTTGCTTTCATGCCATGTACAGTCATCCAAGTCAGCGTTGGAACAGTACATGGGCCGGTGACCCATGGTGATGATCCATGGCCGGGCTGCCCGGTTCTCATTGGCTTTCTAGAGAGAAAGACCAGAGTGAGAGGTGGGGTTGGGGGGAAAAGAGGGGAGGCAAATCCAATAGATGACAGGCGACCTCCACCCAGGTTACCTGGAGGTCTCTCTCCAGCCAATGAAACTGTCTCTCTACCAGGTGGCGACCATAATGGAGGTAGAAATATACTTCCGTGGAGAAGGAGATGATGTGTGCAGGGCCCACATCCCAGCTAAGGGGTTAAAGGGCAGGGGTCAGAGATGGGGTCTGCACTGCATCTCCCATCCTTCATGGGAAGGAGGCCGGCCCCCTAGCCGCTCCCTCAGGTTACCTGTACCACAGGCCCTCAGTGTTCCCTGGCATACTGAAGCGAGCCTTGTAGTTAGAGAAGTTGCTGGATAAAAAGAAGTAAAAGTTTTAGGGGAGGGTCTAGGTGCCCTATCCACCCCATTTCCTGGGACTGTGAAGTCAAGTCTGGCTGCCAGCTCCTCCCTCCTCTCCTCTCACTAGCACAAATGAGCTGCTGCAGTATGAGGGACTAAGGTGAGACACCAAGAAGGACACATCTGTTCTCACTGGCCAGGCCCATGCCCACCCTGAGGCCCCTGGCTCTCACTAGCGCTCCTCATGATTCCCAGGGCATGTCATGTATGGTAGGCTGGCAGCCACGGGTTCGATGAGCCGCATGAACTCATCACCGACGCGAGCATTGTCCTGATCCATGTTGTAGGCAAAGTCTCCTGGAGGGTGGACATGGTAGGGGTGGTGGTAGACAGTGAGGACCCAGATCTAGTTCTGCTTTTGCCAGAATTGAGAGCCCTGGTTGCTCAGGTGTGGGCTGGGCAACTCTGGCCTCAGAACCATCCCAGTTCTCTGATCCCTACCTCACACCCACCGATGTGTGCATTTGGAAGTGTTTCCTGAGCCTCTGGTCCCTGAGACCCTCATAGGACCATGCTAGCCTCCTGTGCTCTGATCACATCTCTGCCTGCCATCCCGTGCCCTCCCAGGAGAACAACATTAAGACTGGCATAGTCTGGTACTGGTTTTATACCAGGCACAGTTCCAAATGCTTTACATGCTTAATCATTTGAATCTTTAAAACACCCTCTGAGGTGGGTGTTGTTATTATTATCCCCATTTCATGTGGAAAAACTGAGGCTGAAAGAGATTAAGTGCTTGCCCAAGGTCACAGAGCTGGTCAGTAAAAATCCAGGAAGCAAACCCTAGGAGTCCAGTTCCAGAGTCTGTGGTTTTGAACCATATCAGCCCCAGTCTTCACCTCCCATTGGTTCCCTATCCCCTCAAATCACAACAGCAATTATAATAACTAACACTTACAACATACCAGACAATGTCAACTTATTTAGTCATCACAACAGTCCTACAGATTCTGAACTTGTCTTACCTCTAATAATAAAAACACAGAGGAGAAAACCAACATACATAGCTATAAGGATGTGACTTGGGAGTTTAAACCGGGCAGTCCGGCCACCATGGACATGATCTCCATGGCCAGTCTAATCCCCAGTCCCTTCTGAACCACACTAGCCCTGGCCCCAGTCCCCTCCACAAGCCTGGTGTTGCCTCCCATGCAGGCCTCCCTCCCCCCATACCTCCAGGCACACCCTTCCCAATGCCTCACCCACATGGAGAACAGCATCGTACATGCCCTGCTGAGTGTCCCTGCGCAGCCGGGGTAGGGCCCTCGGGTTGTCAGCCCCCAGGTCCCCAAACACAGCCAGACGGGGGCTCCAGTGGGGCCCATTCTTTAGGGCCTTGAAGCGGAACCGCCGGCTCCAGCCCCGAGTACTGCCACAGCGGTAAACTGAGGGGAAGGGAAAGGTCACAATCAGCTGGGAGCCCCCAGATGTCCCCTCCCCCCCCCACACTCATCTTCAGTTGGTAAGGGAAAGAGGTAGTGGGTTGAATAGGTTTGACCAGAGCGCCTTCTGTCCACCTCATTCCAGGTCTCCAGAACCTTCCATTTTTATCCCAGGGTCTCAGACGATAGGCTTGCATAAGCAGAGGAATCAGGAACCTAGCCTGAGCCACCTGCCAGCGGCAGCTTCTAATCCCTATCCCACTCCTCTTCCATTCACCCCTCAACACCTGTGCCCTGGGCCCCTCTCACCATACTGGACTCCCGGCAGCAGTCCCCGCAGTGTGACACGGTGTATGTAGAGCTTCCGTCGGAGAAAGCCTCCATCCACAAAGGGGCTGACGGCGCCATGGGCCCGGAAGGGCAGGGGCCCTGATAACTGTAGCCCAAACTGCACTTCAGAGGGGGTTGGGACCCATGTGGTCCAGGTTACAGTCATGGATCCTGGCTCATCTGGACAGAAAGGAAGAGAGTGGGGCTGAGCAGTGACGTCTGGGCAGAGCAGGGAGGGATGTGCAGAGAGAATGAGAGGCAATGATTGACAGCTCCTGAAGACTCATTAGTTAAGGACACAGGTTGTAGAACTTCCCAAGTTCAATTCCAGCTTGCCATTTCCAAACTGTGCCTTTCTTTGGCAAGTCACTACCTCTTTTTGCCTCAGTTTCCTTATCTGTCAAATGGAATAATAATAGTATCTACTCTATAGGGTTGTTATGAGGCATAGATTAATAAATAATAAGTAAAGCACTTGAAACAGTGGCTAGCACAGTTAGGGTTATATGAGTGAATGGATATTATTATTTACTATGTGCAGGCCTTGTGCCAAACATTTTGCATACATGATATCATTTAGGGGTTATAAACTCAGATGTCTAGAGGCCAACTAGATAATATAAAGTGGGGAGAGGTCCAGCTGTAAGGAGTAAGGCAGTGAGAGCTCTGGGGTGTGTGGCAAACTGCAGGCCCTGCCTGCTGTGAAAGGGGCAGCCATCGCTCAGCTCTGGTGATACCTGCCATGCAGGAAGCAGGCCCAGTGCCACCCAGTCTGTCAGTTGCTAGAGTCAGTCTTTATACATTGTTTTTTTATGTCCAGGAGCATATATAGATAGATATACAAAAGCAGACTTTTAAGTGATTACTCCAAATTCTTAAAAGTTAGCAACCAAATCAAGGTTTTAAAAATATCATGAGGTATAGTGTAATGTTAAGAGCATGAGTTCTTCCTCCAGCAACATGAAAATGCACATGCAAAAGATTACACATTGCAGCACTGTATGTAATCGCAAAATACCAGAACAACTGAAAGGCCCAAATGTAGAAGAGTGGCTGAATAAACTACAACATGCATACAGTGGAGCACTATGCAGCTGTCAAAAAGAAAGAGGACAAGCTCTAGGAACTCTAAGATACAGAATGAAGTCCAAGACATAAAATTTAAAAAGCAAAGTATATGTGAGTATATGTAGTCAGCTACTCTTCATGGAAGAGAATATAAGAAAAAACACACAAGGATATGCTTATTAGTACAAAAAAAGAAATACAGGGAGGCTATACCTGAAATTAAAGAGATGGATTACTTATATAGGGTGGATGGGGAAGGAAAGGGTATAAAATAAGGAGAAATAGTGTAGTAGAAATGAGGAGGGAGGACAACTCTCTGAGTCTATCTTTTTTGTATAAAAATTCGGACTCCTAGAACTATAGTCATGTTTCACATTTACTTCATACACCCCAAAAACAAACTAACCAAACTACCCAGGATGTGAGGAGAGGCTAGTATGGAATATAAACACTAACAAATGGTTGAAACTATATTTAAAAATGAATAAAGTAACCACACTGAAGGGGTGGGGAAGAAAAGTAACCATGGGAAATAATCTTGGCTGGGCACTGTAAGGTGGCATAGGAAAGGGGCTGCACATAAGTGCCGTCATCCAATAAGTGTTCTCCCAGGGATACAGCAAACAATTCTGAAACTACTTTATCCCTCTACTACAAGTAAGTATATTGTAGATTGTGGAAGCTAGGTTTCTCAACGTTAAAGAAAAAAGTTATAAACAAGAAAAGAAGGCAAAAATAAACTTTTTAAAAAAATTAACATTTGAGCCCTGAATGGTGTGGTTCAGTTGGTTGGAGCATGGTCCTGTATACCAAAAAGTCACCAATTCAATTTTTGATCAGGGCACATACCTAGGTTGCAAGTCTGAACCCCAGTCTCGGGTGCCCATGGGAAGCACCCAATCGATGTTTCTCTCTTGCATCTATGTTTCTCTCTCTTTCCCTCTCTCTCTCCCAGTTCCTTCCCCTCTCTCTAAAATCAATAAGCATGTCCTTGGATAAGGAGGAAAAAATAAATTAAATAATTAAACAAACATTTGATGTTGGCCTGAAATCAAGGTATCAGTATGATCCTTTGGTATTTAATATATATGCAGATAGATACAGAAATATAGATGCAGCATTTGCTTATAAACATACACACATGTATGGCCTAGCTCCATTGGTGAGAAGGCCTAGAAACAATGATGCCTCACTAGCAATGAGCACACCTACTGCTCAGATTTTGGTTTCTAAATACTCAATGGAAGGAGTCAGAGAGCTTTGGAGAAGTCGTTGATTCCAGAGATGGGGGAGGAAATATACAAGATGAGCCTGGAATAATTTGTGGTGGCAGAAAGTGAGGAAGTGCTCAAAAAAAAGATGTGGTTTTATTAAAAGAACACAGAAACCAATCCGAAGAAATTCCAAAGACCAAAGCAGGGACAATTTGAGCCACAAAATAAATAATGATAATACAGGATTTTAACCCATGGAATAAAATAAATATCCATGACTCCATATTGATATAAATAAATAACTGAATAAATAAATAAATGGAGGGGGAAAGAACAGCCTTTCCTTAGAGTAAAATTTCAATAAGACAGAAAGAGAGAATTAGAAGATTACAAAACCACAACTAGGCAAACACCACACTAGTAATTGTTGCATACAGGATTCACTGATGGATACTAAAATTAACGGGTAAATTTTTCAAAAGAAACATGATTTTTGTATTCTCAAGGAATTTTCCCCAAGATATTTATTAACAACAAAGGAAAGAATAAAAATGTTACAGTGGAGAAACCTAGGAACTAAGCAATGACGGTTAACATCACCAGTAACAGCAATAAGCCATGATATCACAAATTAGGAAAGATACAGCATCGCATCTATTGCCGTCTTGCCAGAAAAACACATAACTTAGTTCCATAATGAGAAAATATCAGGCAAACCCAAAATGAGGGATATCCTACAAAATAACTACTCAGTACTCAAAAATGGAAAAATCATGAAAGGTAAGGAAAGACTGAGAAATTGACAGATTGGAGGAGACAACTAACTGTGACTAAATCAGTGAAAAAATTGGTGAAATTCTAATAAGTTTTGTAGTTGAGTTAATAGTATTGCACCAATAAAAATGGCATTAATAATAGTGTCGTGGTTAGGTAAGATACGTCAGGAGAGGCTGAGTGAAGGGGATACAGAAACTCTAATATTTTTGCAAAATTTTTGTTAAATCTAAAATTAGTACAAAATTTAAAGTTCTAAAACAAATACCATGGCTCTTGAATTGCTTAGGTTCAAATTCCAGACTGTGACTTAGGGTCAGACTCTTCATCTCTGTGAACCTCAGTTTACCCTTTTGTATAATGGGTGTAACAATAGTACCTACAGTTTAAGGCCCAAAATGAGGTTCACTGAGTTATCCAACTGAAGCACTAGTCAAAGAGTATATTTGCTACTATAATTTTGTGGGCCAAAGGACAGCTGTGATCTCGCAAGATTTTCACCGCAGGCCTGTGAAATAGATTTTATTGTTGTTTCTTTTACAGAGGTCTCCAGGCAAAGTGTCTTGTCCAAGGTCAGCAGGTTAGCAAATGCCAAAGCCAGTTTATTCATGCAGTTTCAGATCCCACATTGCAACTAATCTTTAAGAAATTATCTTCTGTAAAAGTGTCAAGAACACAAACAATAAAGAAAAATTGATAATGTGTCACAGATAGGAAGGGACCAGAGACATGGCAGCTAGGGACCAGAGACATGGGATCCCGCAGCAGATCCTGGATTAGAATTAAGACATTAGTAGAAAAACTGGTGAAATTAAAAAAAAAAAAATCCATGTTTTAGTTAGTAATGTGATGCCAATGTTAATTTCTTAGTTTTGACAATGGTACCATGGACACATAAGAGATTAACATTAAGAGCCCTGGCTGGTGTGGCTCAGTGGATTGAGTGCTGGCCTGCAAACCAAAGGGCTGCTGGATCAATTCCCAGTCAGGGCGCATGCCTGGGTTGCAGGCCAGGTCTCCGGTAGGGGGTGCTCGAGAAGCAACCACACAGTGATGTTTCCCTGTCTTTCTCCCTCCCTTCTACTCTCTCTAAAAATAAATTTTAAAAATCTTTAAAAAAATAGAGAGATTAACATTAAGGGAAGCTGAGTGAAGTGGATACAGGAACTGTATTATCTTTGCGGCTCTTCTGTAGGTTTAAAATCATTTCAAAATAAAAAAGCTAAAATAATTAAGAAGGGAGGGAGGAAGGATGAGGGAAAGAAGGAAGGGAGGGAGGAAAAGAGTTGTTTTTTGGTGAAAAGGAAATAGCCACAATTATTTGAAACTCCTTTTAAAATCTTCCTCTCTATTTCAACCACATGTCAGCATGAGATCAAATTTTCTTCATACATATTATCCAAAGTAGCATATTGAAACAGACTGAAGCAGAAGCAGATGTAAGGAGGGATCTGGCTGTCTCCAGACATTAAAGAGACTTAAAAAGATGTAACTCAATGCCACTCTTCTGACCAGCTTTTTTCCTTTGTATAGTTATTTTTCATGAAAAATATCATTTACCTTAATACAGAATGAGTTTATTGTTGTTGATTTTAAATTACAATTGCCCTGGCTGGTGTGGCCCAGTGGATTGGGTGCTGGCCTACAAACCAAAAGGTTGTCAGTTCGATTCCCAGTCAGGGCACATGCCTGGGTTGCCCTCCAGATCCTCAGTTGGGGGTGCGCAAGAGGCAACCACGCATTGATGTTTCTCTCCCTCTCTTTCTCCCCTCCTTCCTCTCTCTCTAAAAATAAAGATAAATTCTTTTTTTAAAATGGCAATAAATATTTCTAAATGCCTCAGTTTTGGTTTCTAATATGGCAAATACTATGGACAGAACTCTCATAAACTAAAGCTCTTTGAGGGTCTCAATAATTTTAGCTGTGCCAAGGGGTCCAGAGACAAATGCACATGAGACGTCTTGTTACATAGGTAATGCATCATTTATTCCTCACTATGAGGTCATGCTACTATCATCGCATTGTCCTCATCTGGATATATGGAGGAGGCTAAGACCGGAGAAGTTAAGTCATTTGCCCAAGGCTACAGCAAAGTTGAGATTCAAACCCAGGGAGTCCGGGTGCAAAGGATTCAGAGTCCAAGTTCTTACTACTCAGTGCACCACCACCTGGTGATCAAGGATCAGGAGGCAGCCTGGTGGGGACACAATGAGCAAGGACAAAACGAGCAAGAGTGACAGCAGCTCCCTTTGGAGAGTGCTTACCATAGGCTGGGCACCAGAATCAACTCCCGCACAGCCAGATGCACTACTGTTTGTGATCTCCATTTAACAGACGCAGACAACTGAGGCTCAGGAAGAGTCAGCCACCAGCCTAGGGCCCCACAGCAATCAGTGTGGGACTCCTGAGACCACAACCCAACGGGCCTCCCTGGGAAATGCCCTGGGAGGGTCACAGACACTTACCTGGATAGGACAGGTGGACTTGCTCAGGGGCAGCTTTGGGATCCTTTGGGACTCCCTGGATTCCCAGGGAGAAAAACAGGAGCAGACAGCAACAGGACAAGCAGGGAAGAAAGGGGCACATGGTGGAGGGGGGGTGGGGTGCAGAGAGGAGAAGGGGTGGGGGCTGAGCCGGGGTAGATCAGATTTGGTCAGGGACAGCAGGAGTGGCTGGGAGAAAGGAGAATGGAGGGAGACCAGGCAATGTCCCTGGGAGGGAGGCAGGATGGTAGGGAGGTCTTCAAGGGACTGGTTATCCGGATGCTGGAGAGCAAACAAAAATAATGATCACTACCCTGTGGCCAGCGCTCTCTGAGACTCACTGGGTGCTGAGCACACTGCATAGATTAATTCATGGAAGCCTCACAGCATCCCTCTGTGTGGAGGCCACTGTGATAAGCAGCTCCATATCACAGATTAGGAAAATGGGCAACCCAGTGATTCAGTTGCACAGCTCAGATGTGATGGAGCCAAGTTTGGAACCCATGAGTCCTGGCTCTTAACCACAGCTTGCTCTCAGATTTGGGAGTGGGATGGGGGTCCTGCAAGAAATTACCTTTGGCAACCCCACCCCAGCATTCCATCCTGCTCTTAGTAACCTCAGTGTCTTGTACCTGATTCCCTAGATCCTTAGCATTCCACCTCATCACTGAGCTCCATCCTCCAGCCTTCTGTTTTGGTCTTAGTGGCCTCAATCCTCCATGCTGTCCCCAGATCCCTCGGAAGTCCATCCTACCTGGGGCGGCCCCATCCCCTCTACTATCCTCCTTCCAGCATCCCCTTCCCACCCCATCTCCAGCTGTATACCCACCTCCCTTCTCCGCATCTCTGCCCTGCCAGCTCCAGTTAGGTCTCCAGCTCCCCAGGACCTGCCAGGCCCGGAAGCCAGGAGTTGAGATGGGGGTGGGGGGTGCCCTCCCTGTGCCCAGCTCACCCTCGAGAGCGCCAACTGCCCGCACACACGTCTCCGGCCACCAGTGCGGCTGCGGTATTTATGAGTTTGCAGTGCCGAGGCACCCCGCCGCCCACAGCCGTCCCAGCCCCGGAAGAGCTTGGCTTCTCCAGGTGACAGGCTCCGCAGACAGCCGGGTTCCCGGGTCCCACAGGTCCGGCCGGTCCTGAGAGCCCCACGCCCACCCGCCCCTCTCCCCTAGGGCGGGGCGTGAGAAGGAGGACCCAGAAAACTTTGGTACGCCGCCGCCACCTCCAAGTCGGTCACCAGGTGAGTTCCTGGATGGGTAAGGCGGCCCTTGCCCCCAGGAGTCCCTCCCGGCAGCTGCGAAGCCCCCAGTGTACGGACGTCGGCCCCCAGCCCTGGCCCGGCCGGATCCCGCGGTACCCAGGTGTGCTGGTAGCGACCCCTGCGACCCGGGGGATTCCCCCATCCCGTCGTGCCGGCTTCATCTTCCTCTCAGTTCCTTCCACCTTCCTCCGTCAGCAAGCTAAACCCACCGATTCCTCCCCAGACTGCCCCAGCACGCTGAAACACAAAATCAAAATCCAGGAATGACAGCGATGCTTCTGAGCTGTGCGCCCTAGGCCGGTTACTCGACCTCACAGGGCCTCGGATTCTTAACCTATAAAATGAAGGTGATAATGGTACGTATTCTAAGGACTGTCGTGAAGATTAAAGTAGTTGACGCATGAAATTTCATGCAGAGAATGAGCCTGGCCCAGAGTAAAAGATGGATAAGAATCAGCTGTTATTTCTACTATTAACGCGAACTCCAGAAATTGCCCTGGGGCCCAGGAAGAAGCAAGTGAGAATTTGTTCCTCTTTTCTGGGGGGTTGGGGAGCGCGGGCGGGGGGGCGGGGCGCAGGGAAACTATGCTGCTTTTAATGCAGCTTTTTTGTTGTTGTTGTTATTCAAATACAGTTGTTTACATCTTCCTGCCACCACTTTCCCCTGCCCCACCCACCCCCACATCCCACCCTCAATCCAACCCCTCTTTGGCTTTGTCCATGGGTCCTTTATACCTGTTTCCTCAGGACCCTTCCCCTTCTTTCCCCCCATTGTGCCCCTCCTCCCACCCCTCTGGTTACTGTCAGTTTGTTCTTAATTTCAGTGTCTCTTGTGATCTGTTGGAAGGCTTGCCACAAAGTATGCCTGGGAGTTTCTGGAGCAGAAGGAAAAGTCTGCTTACAGACATACAAATGTTTTTAAAACAAATATGTGATACAGTAGTATATGTGCTCTTTTCTTTTTTGATTTCTTTTTTTTTTATTGTTCAAATACATTTGTCTCCATTTACCCGCCACCACTTTCCCCTGCCCCTCCCACCCCCACCTGATCTCTTATATTTGAGTTTATCCTTCAATTAGCTTTTAAAACACTACTATAGTTGAATTGCATGCTTCTTTTTTATTTTACTTTCAATTACAGTTTATATTCAATATAATTTTGTATTAGTTTCATGTGTACAGCATACTACATGTTTCTTTCTTAATGCATTAAACTTCAAGATCTAGCCCTGGCCAGTATGGCTCAATTGGTTGGAGCGTATCTCCAGTTTCATTCTGATCAGGGCACAGGCCTAGGTTGCAGGATCAGTACCCACAAGATTGGTGTTTCTCTCTCACATCGATGTTTCTCTTTCTTTCTCTCTCCCTCCCCTCCACTCTCCCTAAAATCAATAAGCATATCTTCAGGTGAGGATTTAAATAAATAAATAAATATAAACAAAGAAACTTTAAGATTTAGTGGCAGGTCACAAAATTATAGTAATTTAGAAGTTTTGATGAGTGTGTAGATGTTTGAGAGTCCAGCAATGACTGCAATGGGATTTGAAAACATCTGTGTTTTCTTCTCATGACAAAGCCAGGCACTGCTAATAGTTCCATGGTCTGTTCCCCACCTGTCCCACCCCCAACCTCCTCCCCGCGCACTTTCCCCATCCCATGACACGAAGACATGCTAAATTTCAATTACATCAGCAGTTCTTGAACTCTACCTTCTTTTTTTTTTTCAGTTCACAGTGAAAGAGAATTTATTTGTGAAGCAGTGGGACAAAGAGAAGGCTAATTCACAGGTAGAGCAGCCAAATTTGGCCTTCTTAAAAATCATTGAGGACCCCAAAAAGCAGTATATGTGGGTTCTAATATTAGCATTGACCAACTGAACTAAGTTGTACACCTGAAATTAATATATTATTGTATGTCAACTATAATTTAAAAATAAATATAAATGAAGAAAACTGAGAAGTTTTAAAACACAACAATATACATGCATATTTTCCATTAGCCAGCAGAGCAATGATGTCATCACAGGTTAGATAGGTTTTGGAGGGTGAAAAAAACAAACACATCCTAGTATTGTCATGAAATAGTTATGACCTCATTAACCCCCTGAAAAAGATCTTGAGTACTCACAATGGTTCCCAAACTACATTTTGAGGACTGCTAAATTAAAGAATAGTAAAGGCAAAGAGGTCATTGTTTTTCCCATCTAAGTTCACACAGTCGCTGAATTCCACCACTCAGGTTCAAAGGCCCAACTGGAATCATGGTGGATGAGAGCTCATTGCTCACTTATGGCCCCTCCCTTACTCTCAGAATGGCCATAGAGCTATTCCTAATTTCTCTCTTTAAATACCTTTGTGTTTTGAGAGATAGACTTCCACTTCCCTATTTTTTATTCCACTCTTTAGAGCGAAGACTCCTGTTGCGCTGAGCAGAACATATACTCTGGGACTAGATAGCCTGTGTTTAGATCTAGCATGAGCATACCTCACTGTGCCTCAGTGTCCCCATTATTAAATGCAGATAACAAGAGTAACAACATCAAAGGGTTATTGTGGAGATTAAATAAGGTAAGAGCTATAAACCTCTTAGAACAGTGTCTAAACAGAGCAAATACCACACATACCCCTTTTAATTAATTATTTATTTATTTATTTATTTGTATAAAATTTTTATATTTAGAATTAGCCAGCTGGACTCAGTTTAGATGATCCCAATTTTGTTGGCAACATCCAAAGCATCATAATCTGGAGCCAGTTGAACATAGGCCTTCTTCTCCCCATCAGGCCTGATCAGGGTGTTGACCTTGGCCACATCAATGTCATACAGCTTCTTCACAGCCTGTTTGATCTGGTGCTTGTTGGCCTTGACATCCACAACGAACACAAGTGTATTATTGTCTTCTATCTTCTTCATGGCTGACTCCGTAGTCAGGGGGAACTTGATGATGGCATAGTGGTCAAGCTTGTTTCTCCTGGGAGCGGTCTTCCGAGGATATTTAGGCTGCCTTCGGAGCTGCAGTGTCTTAGGCCTCTGGAAGGTGGGAGACGTGCGGATCTTCTTTTTTTTGAGGCTGTGGACGCCTTTTAGCACTGCTTGCTTTGCTTCCAAAGCCTTTGCCTTGGCTTCGGCTTTGGGAGGGGCAGTGGCTTCCTTCTTAGCTTTCAGCGCCATCTTCATGAAAAGGGTTTCTTAATTATTTATTGTACCTAAGACATCTGGTCTGTTTAGTTTGTGAGATAAGGCTATGGTTAATCTACTTTTCAAAGTCATTTTTACATTTTTCAAATCTTTATTATGGTAAAGTGTGACACACATACAGAAAAGTGCCTGAAACATATATGTTCCACTTAATGAATTATGACGAAGGGAACACACTTGTGTCACCACCACCCAGGTGAAGAAACAAATCTTACCAACTTCCCACAGGCCCCTGCTGCCTCCTGCCAGGCTCTCCTTTCTCCCTGCGAAGGTCCCCACATTACTGATTTTTACCTGGTTTGGGTTTAAGTATGCCTCCCTGTGTACAGAGGTTTCATTTTGCCTACTTTCCACATGATGTAAACAGAATTATATAGTATGAACTTTTGTGCCTGGCTTCTTTCTCTCAACACTATGATTGTGAAATTCATCTCGGATGGGTGTAGAAATGCAGTCCATTCCTTCCCATTGCTGAGTAGTATTACACTGTAGGAGTACACTATAATTTATTTATATACCAACTGGGAATTTGAATTGTTTCAATTTTTGTCTCTTGCAAATAATACTGCACTTATCGTTCTAGTACATATTTTGTCCTAGTACATTCACAACATAATGTGAACATATATACACATTTCTCTTGG